CGCCTGCTTTGGCGCCCTGGGAGGCCGCGCATCGGCCCCCCCCCCCCCCCCCCCCCTCCCTACCCGCCATCTCGCCCTGCCCTGTGTTAGGGATTGGGGGTGGCAAGAAGGGGGTGACGGGTGTGTGGTCTCCCCTGCTCCTGCTCCTCCTTCGTCTCCCACTGCTGCAGCTGTCGCTGAGGGGGGTGGATGTGTGGGAGCCTGGGGTTTAGGGTTTAAGGGGGGTACTGTGGGAGTGGAGCTAGGGTTTTGAGGGAGGTGGATGTGTGGGCGTCTGGGGTTTAGGGTTTACGGGGGTGCTGTGGGTGTAGGGTTAGGGTTTGAGCAGGGGGTGTGTGAGAGGGGCGTTGGGCAGCTGGGGGAGGTTGCGTGGAGGCAGCAGTCTTGTCGTCAGCACCACCAGCAGTCCGGAGGCTACAATCTCCGGTAGTCGCCAGTCGCTTGTGGGTCAGTTGCTCGTCTGCCGCTACTTTTAGCCGCGGAGCCATTTACTCCTGTAGTCCGGGCCTTTGCTTCGGTAGCCACTGAGCCAGCAGCTCGTCTGTGTGTCTGCAGCGTCAGTAGTCGCCTCCCATCTTCTCTCCCCCACAGTCTCTCCTCCTCCTCACTTGCTCTCTGTGATTAGCTCTAGCCTTACTTACCTATTGTGAACTTCTGCTCTATGCCTGCTTGCTCATTGTGCTGATTACACCCCACTTTGGCTATGGGGGTGTGTCAGAATGTTATTCTCTAGCTTGTAGTGGGGTGCTCTATAGCGAGTACAACCCATCTAGGGTTTGCTATATGTATCCTCATTGCTGCTAGTGAAACCCCTCTCTTCTTCATTCTCGTTCCGACTTTTCACATTCCCGATGGCGGAAGCTTGATGCACACCCATTGTAGCATCGTAACGGTCTTGTGTGTTCACATCGACACCGTTACAGGGATCAGCACAGGGTAACTGATCGGTGGGGCTTGGGCCAATGATAGGTGTATCCCTACAATAAATGTTGCGTTGAACGGACCAGAATCCTCACGGAGAGCTGTGCCGGCATTGTGCATAGGAGATGGATCTACCCGTATTCTCCCGGACAAAACACCCCCCCATGATAGAGCACCTCTGGGTAGCTTGTGCAGGGTGGGTGCTATGGGCGACCTCGATTTCACTATACCCCACTTTTTGCATGATTTATAATTAAACACTCCCCTTTTCTTACAGATTCTATATTATAGCTGTTAACGAGTCGGTGCAAACACGGAAGTATATCGCGAAAATCCCTCGCTCGATGAAATTTCTCGGTTCTTTCACATCAAATCTGCCGAAACTCCCCCCCGCCCACTATTTCGCTGTCGCCACGTGCTGGCGAATCTTCCGCTGCATGTGGCCAGGGAGGGTGCCAAATGACATTTTCGAGGGGTTGATGACGTTCGCGTCGAAACTGGCATTCGCGCCTTAACATGTGATGTTTAAAAGCCCATGGAGACACTCGACTTCTCTAATAAAAAAAAACTAACACTAAAATATACCATCTATATGCACCCGAGTATTATGTAGTTTTTCCTATGAGAAGACACCCCCCTTTTTTTCCCTGTATTTTTAGATCTACCCTAGGGTGTTATGTCCGGGAGAATACGGTAGGAGAAGTGTGCTCTGGGAGGCAAGCTCATGCTGGCTTTGGAAAACCTTCAAGTGGTTGGCTAGCTTGTTCTTTTGGCTGACATGGTGGAACAATGGGGATGAGATGTGCGGGATGCAGGGTAAAATGAAAAGCACCGGCACTGGAAACATGAGAACCTTGCCCGACTCACAAAAGAATTCTAAATCATACAGTGGTATGATGATACGACGTGACCTGACATGATGTGACGTGACGTGACATGATGTGACATGGCATGACATGATGTGACATGACGTGACAGGTTGTGACATCGCATGACATAATATAATATGACTTGTGCAACATAGGGGCCAGCGCCATGCCTGAAAGAGTTGCCACAAGAGCACTACCACCGCCGTGGCCCACATGCAACCGCCGGCAGGCAGGACCACTTGCTGCCGCACCGCGGAGCACAGCAGCGCCACAAATACGTACGTCCGCCGGTAGTGGTTTTGCAGTGACGCCTTTGACTTAAACGCACGGAACCCCGGGTGCTGCTTGTTGAACGGGCAACTTGAAGCCAGGCAGCTGAAAATCTCCGATACAACACCAACGATATGAAGTCTGCACGTGGTTGCTCCTGTGGTTCTGGTCTCCTCCTCCGCCAATTTCTCCTAGTCGAATCTTTCTTCCATGCCTCCCCCAGTTTCCTTGTCATCCCGCGGATCAGGCTCTTGTGCATATGCTGGAGAATGCATGCTTAGCTTGAAAGAACTGTGGGCTCAGCTGTTGCAGAACGTGCTGCTGCAGCTTCTGCCAGAGCCCACACCTGTTGCTACATATACCGTAATCTCCCGAATATACTGGTAAGTCCCTCCATAACAGAAGTGCCCCGGGTCTGTAATCAAGGGTCGGGACTTCCATTTCGGCTAGTTTTTAGTATACCCTTAGAGGGGTAAACATTATAAGACCCCCAACCTCAAACTTGTATGCTAGCATTTTACGACAATTTAATGCATTTTCTAGTGTTTTCTTAGCATGATAAGGGTGTGAACACATGATTATGCACATCAAATCCATGCATGTTTGATTGTTCATGAAAACAATTTCAAGGTTGGGGAAAGAAGCACATGTAGATAACAATTATGGCCAATGAGAAGGCTACAACCAGATTTCAATCTAATCTGCCTATGTTGCGGAACACTCATATCCGTGGACCTATGGAGGATGAAAAATAATGAGCAAGCATCTACATCAATAAAGAGTTTGAATACACAGTTCAAGAGTATGTCCATAGTATAAGAATTGGGTATTATATGCTCTTCACTCTCTGACAATCCATTTTTTCATTGATATTTCCATAAGACCCTAGTGTCTCTTCCATACGTTCTGATGAATGGTGCAGCTTGAATGGCTGGATCGGTCTCCTTGTTGAATCAGCCCCACCCACAAAAAAAGGCTGATGAATCAGCCTAGGTAAAAAAAAAAAACCATGAAACTCAACCTTTTGAAGCCAAATCGCGTGAAATTCCTGACTTGGTCTGAGCTCTCCAAGCCAGCTTGAGGACGGTTGGTTCACTTGTCAGCATGCAGAAGAATGGATTGAATACTCAAGGAGCAGATTACATACCCCATGTGGCCTTGTCTTGCCTTGATTCAAAATCAAGCGACGAAGGAACGCAATATATAGTAGCCTAGCCTGTACATTTGCTAGAGATATATTTGACCGACTTGTAGGTCTTAGGCTAGCAACCATGCTTAATAGCTGGAGGGGTTATAGAAGTCATCTTGCAGCTCATGAAAGTGTTCTTCAAGAGAGATTCCCACGGCTGCCCCTGTGAACGCCAGAGTGCCGCAGAGAATCAGAAGTCATCTTGCAACTCTGGAAAAAGCTCTTCAAGAGAAATCCCCCCCACTGCCCCTGTGCCATCCTCAGGGAGCCCGCGAATGAGGCCGTGGTGGATTGTTGGAGGGCTGTGGAGGGCGGATGGAGGGTCAGTTGACTCTAAGTGTGCCTAAAAAACTGCTTGAAGGCCCAGGCTTTGGTGCAGGGGTGGAAAATCGGTTACATCTTGGGCCGACCCAAGATCCACTAGTCGGCTCGGGCTTTGAAGCTGGGGTGGAAGGTCAGTAGTGATTGGTGCATAGGAGGATGGCACAGGTTTTCTCGCCCAGGTGGATTCTCGGTTAGCCCAGGTGGATTGTTGAATAGCCCAGGCAGATTCCTGGTTAGCGGAGGTGGAATTTCGGTCAGACCAGGTGGATTCTTGGTGGTGGAAGGGTGGCGGGTGTACTTGGCTGGATAACTGCTGTTGTTTCTGCTGTTTCACCTGTTTTTGCACCTTCTGTTGCTGCTGCTGCTGTTGCTGTTGTGACCATTGCTCCTGCTGCTGCTGCTGGTGCTGGTCCCGCTGATGCTGTTGCTGATGCGGTTGCTGTTGGTGCTGAAGTTGTGGTTGCTGGTGCTGCCGCAGCGCTAAGAGAATCAGCCGACACGAGGCCCCAAGGGCCTCATTCCCCCCCGAGTCAATGATCTCCCGACACGTCGCCTCCAGCAGCGCTGACACGTCAGCGTCGCGATCCAATGTTGACAGGTCAGCATTGCGATCCAATGTTGTTAGGTCAGCGTCGTGATCCAATCTTGACAGGTCAGCGTCACGATACAATGCTGACAGGTCAGCATCGTGATCCAATGTTGACAGGTCAGCGTTGCGATTCGACATCGCCAGGTTAGCACCACCACCACTTGAAAAAATGAGCCCGTGTTTTCACTATCGGCAAACAGGTCCTGGGCCGAGGCTGTGCCTGCGGTTGGGAAGGCTTGATGGGAGGGAAAAACGATGGGGCAAGTGACTGGATTGTTAGAGGGATTGGATGGAGCACAGGAGGGGCTACTGGAGCTGGCTGCGTTGACTGTGTTGACTGCTTTGAACGTACTGGCTGTGTCCGTGTTGACTGCGTTGACTGCATGGACTGTAATGGCCATTCAAGCAGCAGGGGCTGCACAGGTGGAGAGGGTTGCATAGACCACGTTGACTGCCTTGACTGCAGTGACTGCACTGATTGCCTGGACTGCGTTAACTGCATTGACTCTGCGGGCTGCAGTGGGGGCTGTGTGGGTAGCTGGGCTGGCAGAGGCAAAGGCACCTGTGCTGATTGTGGGGTTAGGGAGGGGTGCTGCTGCGAGAGGTGCTGCTGTGGCAACGGGAGGGAGGGGCGTTTCTGCAGCAAGGGTGGGGAGGGGTGCTGCTGGGGCAAGAGTGGGGCACCTTGTTCCACCCTCATGCAGCTGCCGCTTTGAAGGGCATCTAGCAGCTTCATATGCGCCTCTAGTTGGTTCGTCTCCTCCTCTAGAAGCTTCATATCCGCCTGTAGCTGATTCGTCTGCATCTCAAGCTGATTTGACACTGCTACCTGCTGCGTCTAGGCCTGCAGCGTCTGTCTCCTCTGCTGCACCTTCTGCTTTGGCTGAACGGGAACGGCAACTGGTTGGAGGTTGAAGAGAGGTGAGTGGTCTGTGAACGTGTTGAGATGGTTGAATAGTTTGTCCTTTCTGCTGAAGGAGTTCCCGCAGGAGCAGTGCCACCGCTTCACATCGCACCGCTTCTCGTGTGTTCGCATGTCGGACTGAAGGCCAAAGGACTTGACCTGAGGGGAAGGGAGAGGGGTAAAGGGAGGGGGGAGGAGTGTGAGTGAGCTCTAGCACGAGCAATTCCACCGCTTTACACCGCACTGCTTCTTGTTGTCACACAGGTCTACCTGAAGGCCAAAGGACTTGACCTGAAGGGAAGGGAGAGGGGGAAAGGGAGGGGGGAGGAGTGTGAGTGAGCTCTAGCAGGAGGAATTCCACCGCTTTACACCGCACTGCTTCTTGTTGTCCCACAGGTCTACCTGAAGGCCAAAGGACTTGACCTGAGGGGGAACGGAGAGAAGAGGAGTGTGAGTCAGCTGCAGCAGGAGCAATGCCACCGCTTTACACCACACTGCTTCTCGGGTGTTCGCATGTCGGACTGAAGGTCAAAGGACTTGACCTGAGGGTAAGGGAGAGGGGGAAATGGAGGGAATAAGAGTTTGAGTGAGCAGCAGGAGCAGTTCCACCGCTTCACACTGCACTGCTTCTCGTGGAGGGGGAAGGACTTGATCTGGGGGGGGGGGGGAGGAAGAGGGGCAAAAGGAGGGGGGAAGGAGAGTGAGTGAGTTGCAACAAGGATTGAGGAGAGGGGGTAGAGGAGATGAGAGGAGAGGAGAGGAGAGGAGAGGAGAGGAGAGGAGAGGAGAGGAGATGGGAAGAGACGAGGGGACATGAAAGGAGGGGAGAGGAGAAGGGAGGAGGGGAGATGAGAGGCAGGGAGAGGAGACATGAGAGAAGAGGAGAGGTGTGGAGAGAGAAGTGAAAGAGGACGATCACCTGGTATCGGGAGCACGTGAAAGGGTTGGCGCTGTGCATGGGTAGGTGATGGGTGTACAGCAAGGCAAGGGAATTGAGCGAACGGCGGAGAGAGGAGGAGAGATTAGGACAGGACAGGGCAGTGGAGATAAGAGAAAAAGGTTCACCTGGCAGCGGGAACAGGTGAAGGGCTTGGTGCTGTGCACACGGCGGTGGTGGGTGTGCAGCGAGGCAAGGGACCTGAGCGGGCGGAAGCGAAAGTGCTGCTTGTTGTGCTGGCAGCCTGGCTATGGGCAGCTGAAGGTCGTGGGGGAGGAGCTGCGGGGATGGGGGTGGTGGAGGGAAGAGGAGTGGAAGAGGAGAGGAAGAAGAGAGAAAGGGGAGAAGTGGACAAGGGAAGCAGCATGGGTGCTGCTCGTTGTGCTGGCAGCCGGGCTCTGGGAGGAGCTGCGGGGGTGGGGAAGGAGAGGAGAGGAAGAGGAGGGATGGAAAAGGGAAGAAGATGAGACAAGGGAGCAAGCAAGTGTGGTGCTCGTTGTGCTGGCAGCCTGGCTCGGGGCATGTGAGAGCTGCGGGAGGAGCTGGGAGGGTGGGGGCGGAGAGTAAAGGGAGAAGTAGAGGAGGAGAGGGGACAAAGAGGTGAGGAAGAGGAGAGTAAGATGAGAGGAAGAGGAGGGGAAGACGAGAGGTGAACAAGCGGGAGCTGGGGTAGGAGCAAAGGCAGGAAGAGAAGAGGTAGGATGAGCAGAGGTAGGCGGAGCAGAGAAACGATAAGAGCAGGAGGAGAGTGCACACCTGGAATTGCAGCGAGTGTCGGGACGGGCAGTGAAGGCAGATGCAGGTCCAGACCCCTCTGAAGCCTCCTGCCTTACTCCTGCCCTGGATTCCCACCTTGCAGCTTCCCGCTCTCCCTCTGCTTTGGCTGCCCCCTGCTCTCCCTCTGCTTTGACTGCTCCCGTTGGAGCTGAATCAATTGCCGCCAGGCTTGGATAAGAATCAAGACTTTCCTGATTTGCCCCTTGTGGTGCTGTTGCCGCTGCTGTTACTGTTACTGTTGCTGGTGGCGGTGGCGGTGGTGTTGCTGCTGCTGCTGGTGCTGCTGCAGTTGTTGCTGCTACTGTTAGTGCTACGGGTGCTACTGCTGCAGCAGCTGCTGCTGTTGCCGTTCCTGCTGTGACCACTGCTACTACTGCTGCTACTGTTGCTGCTGCTGCTGGCCCTGCTGCTACAACTGATGGCGCCTCAGCTGCTGCTGCTGCTGCTGGTGGTGGTGCTGCCACTCCTACCTGTCCTGCTCCCCCTCCCTGCGCCATGGTCTCTTGCAACGCTGCATGTAGCTGCTGCAGAAGCTGCTTCAACTTCTTGTGCCTACGAGGAGTCACCTCCCCCTCATGCTGCTCCCCATCGCCCTGCTCCCCGTCCCAATGCTCCTCCTCGTGCTGTTTGCGCTTCTACCCGGCTTCCCTTGCCAAGCTACCCTTTTTAGCGGCACTGAGTCGTTCCTCCATGATCGAACGACTTGTTCCTGAGAATTGTGGCCGCAGTTGCACCTTGCCTCCTCCTGCTCCCAATTGCTGTTGTTCCCTCTCCTGCAACCAATGCTGCTCCCCATTTGCATCCTCTTCCTCCTCCATGCCTTCTCCCTCTTCCTTGTCTTTGTCATCTGACTCTCCCATCTCCTCTTCCTCTTCCTCTTTTTCTTCGTCTTCCTCTTCTTCGTCCTCTTCCTCCTCCTCTTCCTCTTCCTCCTCCTCTTCCTCTTTATCCTTCATACCATCCTCAACATTGTCCTCGTCACCATCATCAACATTCCCCTCCTCATCCCCTCCCTCCACTTCGTCCTCTTCCTCTTCATCCTCTTCCTCTTCCTCCTCCTCTTCCTCTTTATCCTCCATACCCTCCTCAACATTGTCGTCATCACCACCATCATCATTCCCCCCGTCACCCCGTCCCCCCACTTCATCCTCTTTCTCTTGACCTCTGCTGCATCTACCTCTCTCATTCCCCTCGCCCCTCTCATCCTTACCTGCTGCCTATCCCCAAGCCATCGGACCTGAACCTTCCTTTCTCCCTCGGCTTGTCACAGCCTGGTTTGGAAAATCTTGGTTCGACAGAATCTGGCTTGGTAGATCCTGCCTCGGCAGAGTCGACGCAACCTGCAGGTTTGGCAGTAGAGGGAGTAGGGGAAGGAGAGCGCTGTGCTGCTGGTGGGGAGGCAGCACGCTGGCAGCGGCCACTGCGAGGCTCTTGATCATGCCAACTATCGCCACTGCCACTGTGTCGCACTGCTGCTTCCACTGCGCCTCCCGTGCCTGCTTCTCCTGAACCTGCTTCTCCTGAGCCTGCTTCTCCTGAGCCTGCTTCTCTCGAGCCTGTTTTTCTGGAGCCTGCTTCTCATGAGTCTTCTTCCCCTGTTCTTTTCCCTGCTGTTCCTTCTGCCCCTGCTGCACCTTCTGCCCCTGCTGCTTCTCCTCCTCGTTATGCTTCTGTTGCTGCTGCTGAAAACGTTTCGTGCCTTCCAATTCTTTTACATGCTCCTGCTCCTGCTCCTGCTCCTGCTGCTGCTTCTTCCCTTGCAGCTGGTGTGCCTGTTCTGCTTCTCTATTTTCTTCTTCCTCCTCTTCCTCCTCCTCCCCCTCCTCCTCCCCCTCCTCCTCCTCCTCCTCCTCCTCCTCCTCCTCCTCCTCCTCCTCCTCCTCCTCCTCCTCCTCCTCCTCCACCTCCTCCTCCCCCTCCTCCTTTATCTGTTGTTGCTGCTCCTTCTCCTTCTCCACCCTCTCCTCCTGCTGCTGCTGTATGTAAAATTTGGATCAAGTCGGCAAACAAGAGTAGTAAATTGAGCGACTGTACTTGAAGCGTCATAAAACAAGGGTGGAAGGGACAGGTGATAAGAAGAGGATGATGAAAGCTGGAAATTGAAAAGAGGGGCTTGGAATGGCAAGGTTGTGACTCAGGGTGACTGAGGCGATGGGCTTAACACTTGCCAAAGCCACAACAACAATAGTGAGCAGAAGTGAGAGCAGCAGGGGGGCGGCGATTTGGTGCAAGGCATGGCAAGGGAAGAACCCGAGGAGCCTAGTACCTGTGATATCATCCGAACAAGAGCTTGTAACGCGGATACTCTGGCCTGGAGAGCGGTGAGCGAGGAGAGGAAAATTGCTTACTGGCTTGGGAGGGCTGCACGCGTGCTTGAGGGGGAGGTGGTGCTTGGCACATTGCTTGGTGTGCAGCTGTGAGTAGCAGTAGCAGGAACAGCAGCAGTAGCAGTAGAAGCAGCTGGAGAAGCAGCAGTAGTAGCAGTAGTAGCACTAGCAGTAGCATTAGCAGTGACAGCCATAGAAGCACCCATTGGGCCTAAGTAAAGCCCTCTTGTGCCAACTTGGGCCCTTGTAAGGCGATGCAGCCACTCTCCTGGCCCATGCTGCCCTCCCAGCACCACTCTCGCATGGGATGCTGCTGTAGCTGTCTCAGCTGTAGCACGGACTGAAGCCCTTGCTGCTGCAGGTGCAGGCTCGGGAGAGGGTGGTTCGGAACCCGGAACTGCCCGAGATCGAATCAAATCCTCAATGAGCCTGACGATGTCAAACGATTGGCCCATGGTAGATGGTAGTGCCGCTGTTCTTCCCATAACGCCCGGTAGGCAACCAGCAATTACTTGTCGGTCTACTCCGGAACGACAGGCATCTGCATCAGCAACTGGACGACCGTCATAATCATGCAAGCCCCAACAGTTAACCAGGCGACTAGCGGCGGCACGTGGCCGGGGAGGCCGTGCAACTATTGGCGATGGCTGGAGCTGCGGCGGCATCGGCATGATCGTCGCACCACCCGGCGCCACCCTCTTTTCTACTACTGACTTTTGATACGTCTCAAAGATCGTCGCACCACCCCGTAGCAGCCTGGCTTCTACCTGTGAGGCCCGGAAGGCCTGCCGTTGAGCAGAACTCTTCGGAGGGTCACCGTGCCCTGAGTTTCCTTGGGAATGACGATGGGTTGATGGATGCTTTGCCATCGTGTCACCACCCAGCAGCAGCCTGCCGTTCGACTGTGAGGCCCGGTATGCCTGCCGTTGAGCAGAACTCCCCGGAGGGTCGCCGGGACGACAGGGCCCCTGGGAACAGGGTGGCGGCTGCATTCTCATTGTCACACCACCCGGCAGGAGCCTGCTGTCTACCTGTGAGGCCCGGGAGGCCTGCTGCTGGGCTGAAGGTCCCGGAGGATGACTGGGACAGGGCCGCCGCTCCTGGGAATGGGGTGGTGGCTTCATTCTCATCATTGCACCAGTCCGCAGCAGCCTGCCTTCTACCTTTGAGGCCCGGGAGGCCTGCGGCCGTTGAGCTGAACTCCCCGGAAAGCCACTGAGACGGGGCTTTTTGGAGCCATGATGGGATGGCTGTACTCTCATCGTCCCACCACCCAGCAACAGCCTGCCGTCTACTGCCGACGCCCGGAAGGCTTGCTGCTGAGTTGAACTCTCCGGTGGGTCACTCGGAGAGGGTCCTTGGGAATCAAACCCATGATGAAGGGGTGGTGGGTGGTTTGGCAGCCCATGTGCTGAGAGTTCCTGCTGGGGACGTGGCTGGGTGTTATCATACCCTGGGGCAGTGCATTGAGAACCTGCTTTCCTGTTAGAGTCTGACCGACCACATGGAGAGAGGCTTTCGTGCTTTCGGTGAAGCGCCATTGCCGGGTGCTGGGCCAGTCACGGCTCTGTCACTACTATTATTTCTCTGTTATCTCTCCCATCCCGGGCCTGTGCCAAGGAGTTAGTACTGCTTGATGATACGTCCTTAGACAAAGCACGACTAGATGTACAGGACTGCGTGTGCACTTTCTCAGTACTCTGGCAAATGCAGGTTGATCGAGCTGTATGATAAAAGCACCTTATCCTGCCAGTGGGATAAGAAGTACTAGCAATACCGTGTCTATAGTGACTATACACCCCGTTCCACCTTTCTACGGTGATCGTTGGGCAGCTCATCTCAGCCTCCCTATTCAAGTTGAAGTTGGGCAATGATTCAGCCAGAGCTGCTCTAACACACTGGCCGGAATGGTGCTCCGGACTGTTCTCAGCCCGGAGCTGCTTGGAAACTGACTGGGGTGAAACCAGGCCCAATTGGAACCAAGGAAATGGAGGAGCAGAAGAGAACGGAACAGAACGGAACGGAACGGGAACGGAATGGAACGGAACAGATCGCCATTCTGAATGCGAGGTGTGTAGTTTTGTTGGGGAGGCCGTGGCCAGGGTTGGGTGATTTCTGAAAGCCCGTGGTGCGAAATGGATGCAGGTGTGCAGAGGTTGAGACTATCAGATGAGAGAATAGCTCTTCATTGGTGACTAGGGGCGTCTGATCTGAATCCCACTCCTCTGCAGTCACTAGAGGGACAAGTGATACAGTATCTTGTACAGTGCTCTCTTTGGCAGGACAGTTGAGGGAAAAAATGTCTCGTTCTTCCACGTTAGGTTTGATCCGACGTAGCGCCATCTACACGATACAGCTTGAAGGCTTAGCTATTCTCTGAAATCGAACGCGACCAATCCTCGAGCGCCGACCATTTGGGGACCATCCTTATGGCTCTTCTGGTCGGCGGGGGAGGCCCACACAAGACAGAGTTGTTGGGAGGTATGTGGTAACTGCAATATTACTGTGCTTTACGTGCTGGCCATTTATTGGCCGTGTTCATGTTCGCCAAACGCTTACGACACTCATCTTACAGGTTCATCTGTCGCATTTTTTGGCACTGAGCGGAAAATAGCGTCGTACTGTATGATCTGTGCCTCAGATTCGCTGAAACCTTGTGCTCCTGCAAACAGTCGGGGTTGTTTAGGGGATGGTAGAGAACTCCATTGCCAGCTTCTGGAATCATTCTACGGCACATTTTTTAGCTGAACTGCTCCGCCATCTCGAAGGAACGTGAGCTAGTGGATCTTAGAATCAATCCCACACGATCTTACTTTCCCAGGGTGCATTTGGCACATCAATTGCACACATAAAATGATGTTGGTCGTGAATCTGTCTGTGGCGGGGCGAATGAACAGAATTGCCTCGAAGAATGACCCGGAGCAGTTCATGGTTTGATCAGTACTCAATAAGATACTTGTGATTTAGGGGGTCCGATGATTACATTATGATGTATATCAATAATACAGAAACACTGTAATGTTAGCCTCAAGTGTACAGTGAGCCAGAAGTTATCAGCATGACAGCTCAGGGAAAAGCTCCCTGACTGAAAAAGTACTCTCCACTGCCTGAGCCCCCTGATTCTCCACAAATAAATGCATGAAGCTAACGTCCCTTCGTGGATCAATCATCACATGCTCCTTGCTCTTCTGCGTAAAAGACTCCGCCAGTGCCTCAACAACAATCACGGCATCCTTGTCGAGTAGTCCAGCACACGGATCAAGCACAGAACTTGCAATCGCAGGATTTTGATGCGCACCCGTTGTGGCATCGTAACGACCTTGTGCGTTAACGTCGACACTGTTATGGGGATCAGCATAGGGTAACTGATCACTTGCATTGAACGGAACAGATTGCTCGACTGGAACTGGGCTGGTATGCTGCACATAAGATGGATCTGGGAGCAGCGTGCTCTGGGTGGCAAGCTCGTGGTGGCTTGGAAAGACCTTCAAGTGATTGGCGAGCTTGTCCTTTCGGCTGGCACGGCAGAACAGGGGGGATGAGATGTGCAGGAGACGGGGTTCAATGAGTCAACAAAGGCATTGCACACACGAGGAGCACGTCAAACTCACAAAAGAGTTATCAATTCTTGATGGCATGATATCATATGGTATGACATGATACGAGATGGCGTGGCGTGACTTGACATGACATGATCTGACATGGCATGACATGATATGCTATGCACAGCAGCGCCATACCTAAACGAGTTGCCGCAGGAGCACTGCCACCGCCGTGGCCCGCACCGCCTCTCATGAGCCTCCCGGTCGGCCGGCAGGCAGAACGACTTGCTGCCGCACCGCGAGCACAGCAACGCCTCACCAGCGTGCGTCCGACGGTAGTGGTTCCGCAGCGACGCCTTCGACTTGAATGCGCGGAACCCCGGGTGCTGCTTGTTGAACGGGCAGCCTGCAGCCGGGCAGCTGAACATCTCCGACACTACACCGGCAGTAGGAAGTCCGCATGAATTTGCTCCAGTCGGACCAGTCACATCCTCCACCAATTTCTCCTCATAGCCCCCAGCTTCCATGTTTCCCGCAATTTCCATGCCGCTATGCGGATCAGGCTCTGCCACAACGGCAACTCCAAGGCCTGGAGACCGCAGCTCACCGCACAAGTTGCTTTTTTGGAGGGGTTCGGCAGACCAGGCGGCTTCTGCAGCAGGTTCTGTTTCGCACTCGTCGTTGCGACCTCTTTTCCTCCCGACCGCGATCCAACTCTGCGCGTCAAGTGTCAGGTCGCGCATCGGTGTTGCATCTGGCGCCACCTCCGCCCGTGCCTCTCCGACAGGCTCTTGCCGAGGCTCCCCAGGCTCGGCAGCTGTTGAGCTGGATTTTAACTCCGGAGAAATCAACGCCGCTGCTTCCGGAGCAGCAGCAGAGTGGGTGGCGGTCGGAGCAAGTATAGCGGAAAGCGGATTTTGAATTCCCCCATCGGCGATTGACGGAGTTCCGTTAGCGGCGGCAGGTGGATTGGATGACTCGAGAGCCCCCGCCGGCTGTAGCAGAGGCTCAGCCTGAAGTACAGCAGCTTGCTGGTTGGGCGGCAGCAGCGAGACGGCCGCTACAGCCAGCTGTCGGATCATGGTCCCCACTGCTACAGCCGCCTGCTCGTAAGGCGCCTCGTCAACCTTCAGCGCTGACGACGGCTGAGAGGGGAAGGAGAGGGGTTTGCAGGGGTGAGGATCGTTATTGTGTGACGGGGGGGGGGGGGGGGGGGGGGGTAGAGTTTTAGAACTCAGTATACATGGTTTCTAACCGCCGTCCATGGCCAATATAAAGCAGAGGGTTTTTAGCAAACTCATTAATCGGTCATCAACGATCGGGACTATCCGAGAGAACCAAGTATACTCTCAGCGAGCGAACGAAAACCTAACTGCGTGATTACCTGAGCGAGCATCCCCAGGAGGACCTGCAGATGCGACACGCGTGACTGGAGCACGGAGAGCGACAGGAGAAGCACTTGCGGCTCGATCACTGTCACAGTCGCGGCACGCGGCGGCTCGGTCGTCGCCGCACCGGTCGGCGCTAATACAGACGCATGGGATTCGATACAGCATCGGAAAAATCCCTGGTTAGCCAAACACAGGCCCGAGGGATTTGCCCGTGAGTCCTCTGAGGGTGGGGGGCAAATGGAAACCATAGGTTTCCTGCTGGATGTGCCGGTCGAACTAGAAATTATCGAAACTGACGACTGATCGTTTATTTTCTGTCTCAATCTACCATTCATTGGGCTGACTGGAACGGCCGAGGTTCGACAGTTTAGGGTCAGGTCCGTGTCGAGCTGGTTTTGATGAGACACAGCCGTGAATTGTGCCACGTACTCTCCCTTCGTAACTTTGCCACTGTTTGCCCATTCAGGGCTGGTTTGTTTTGAAGTCGCGGGTGTCGCGATCTGGTTACAGGTTTCACATTTCGTTGCATGTGGCATTTGCCTTGTCCTGTAGTGTTGGGACATCGTGTTTTTTTTTTCTGACTCCTTGCTTCTCAGTTTTCACTTTAACCGATATACGTTGGCTCGTTTACATTGTGTGCAGGTTTTCTGTTTTACATGTGTTTTATGTTATCTGCAGTATGCAGGTAATTTGTTTTAGAATTCCAGACACTACGCACTGGTTTTCGACATTCGTCCTACTGTTTATAGGGTAATGTTTTGTAATTGGTACATAGCGGTTATTGTAAGTTGGATTTCCGATTTAATCAATGATTTGCTCAGATACTAGCCTTAGTGTTATTAGTGAGTGTATGTAAATTTATACACATGATGACGGATAACTTGCGTAATTTACATTTGCATGGTCGCAAAATATTGGTGTGCTTGTGTTGTTTTAGTATTGTATGTTATAGGTTTATGGATTTAACTATTATGATTGTTCTTGTATTGTGCATACAGTATGTTACTATGCAACGCGTCCGTTTGTTTTGTCGTACACGACCAGGTTGAATACATTGGTTGACACGTGTGTTTCCCGCCACAATTTTGTCAATGCTGTTTGGTGACGCTGCGCGATTTTTCGCGAGTCGCGCTAGTTCACATTTGGGTGATTTGGCGCGTTTGACAAAAGTAGAAGAAAGAAGAGAGAGAAAGAGGATTGAACTAGCAGAAATGGGGATACAAATAGCAAACCCTAGAAGGGTTGTACTCGCTATAGAGCACCCCACTACAGGCTAGAACATAAGATAACATTCTGACAGCGTTCTCATTCGTTCACCCGCGTTTGACCAGCCGTGTCGCTTTGTAACATTCAGGTTTGGTCGCGGGTCAGTTTGAAGTGCTCACGCTTTGGTTTCGAGTGGGTAGCCCGTATGCCTTAAGTGATGTTTAGCTGCCTAAGTGATGTTTAGCTGCCTAACCCGGATGCATAGTATTAGTCCTGGCCATATTGCATTTCCCTGCGAACTGATAACACACCCTGCCATTGTATTAAGGTGGATGTTGTTTAAAGGGCACCTTTTGTCAGTTCTTAGCAAAGGTGGCGTTTCACTTTGTACCCCTGTTTTTAAACGTTGTGTTGGGTATCAGCCCGTCGGGTTGAGGGCAGAGTTTTAGGCACCACAGACTCCCACGCTTTGGCCCCAAACCTATCGACAGGCCTGCTTAGGGGGCAAGGAACTCAGTCATCAGTTCTGCTCGAAGTCTTGTGTCTGGAATTCCGAATTCCAAATTCGTCCATATTCCCAAACTCGACACGATTCCAAGCCCCAAAAATCCGTGCATTCCGCCTCCGCAACAATTTCTTGCGGTTAGCTGCGATTTAAGTACTGAAGTTGGGGTTAGGCTACACTTGCGGCCACTGGTGGCGGCTAATCCGCGAGCTTTTTTCCAGCCGGTGGTTCATTCACCTTGAAGTGGCGATCTCAGAAGGTGAGTTATTTAGCTTCATGGAGCCCCCGCCGCCCACTCCTTCTCCGTCGCTCTCGCTTTCCCCCTTCACACTCCCCTTAGCCCGTCGCCCTCGCTTTCCCCTCGTCGTCATTGCTTCCCCCGTTGGTCTCGCTTTTCCCCACCGCACACTCCTTCCCCCGTCTCTCTCGCTTTCCCCCCCTGCCCACTCCTCCCGTCGTTCTCGTTTGCCCCCGTCACCCACTCCTTCCCCCGTCGCACTCGCTTTCCCCCGTCGCCTCTGGCTTTCCCCCGTCGTCCTTGCTTCCCCCATCGCCCTCGCTTTCCCCCGTCGTCATTGCTTTCCCCCGTTGCTCTCGCTTTCCCCAGCCGCCCACTCCTTCCCCCGTCTCTCTCGCTTTCCCCCGCCGCCCACTCCTTCTCCCGTCGTTCTCGTTTGCCCCCGTCGCCCTTTCTCTACCCCGTCGCCCACACTTGTCACCGTCCCCCACGCTTTCCCGAGTCGCACACGCGTTCCCCGGCGCCCACACTTGTCACCGTCCCCCGTCGCTCTTGCTTTCCTCTGTCATCCTCCCTCCCTTTCCTCTGTCGTCATTACTTCCCCCATCGCCCTCGTTTTCCCCCGCCGCCCACTCCTTCTCTGTCGCTCTCGCTTTCCCCCTTCACGCTCCCCTTAGCCCGTCGCCCTCGCTTTCCCCTCGTCGTCATTGCTTCCCCCGTTGGTCTCGCTTTCCCCCGCCGCACACTCCTTCCCCCGTCTCTCTCGCTTTCCCCCCCTGCCCACTCCTTCTCCCGTCGTTCTCGTTTGCTCCCGTCACCCACTCCTTCCCCCGTTGCACTCGCTTTCCCCCGTCGCCTCTGGCTTTCCCCCGTCGTCCTTGCTTCCCCCACCGCCCTCGCTTTCCCCCGTCGTCATTGCTTTCCCCCGTTGCTCTCGCTTTCCCCCGCCGCCCACTCCTTCCCCCGTCTCTCTCGCTTTCCCCCGCCGCCCACTCCTTCTCCCGTCGTTCTCGTTTGTCTCCGTCGCCCTTTCTCTACCCCGTCGCCCACACTTGTCACCGTCCCCCACGCTTTCCCGAGTCGCACACGCGTTCCCCGGCGCCCACACTTGTCACCGTCCCCCGTCGCTCTTGCTTTCCTCTGTCATTCTCCCTCCTTTTCCTCTGTCGTCATTACTTCCCCCATCGCCCTTGTTTTCCCCCGCCGCCCACTCCTTCTCCCGTCGCTCTCGCTTTCCCCCGCAGCCACTCCATTTCCCGTTGCTCTCTCTTGCCTCCGACACCCACTCCTTCCCCCGTCGCTGTCGCTTTCCCCCGTCTCCCTCCCTTTCCCCCGTTGTCCTTACCCTCCCCGTCGCTCTCGCACACTCCTCGTCGCTCTCGCTTTCCCCCGTCGCCTTTGTTACACACCGTCGTCATTGCTTTCCTTCGTCGCCAGCTCCTTCCCCTCTCGCCCTCCCCTTCCGCCCCCGCCTTTTCTTGACCCCCGCCTTTGGCTCCCCCGTCGCTTTTGGTACACCCGTCGGTTTTGGTACACCCCCCGCCATTGCTCCCCCACCCTCGTCACCTTCTCCTGCCCCGTCGCCCTCGTTTCTCCCCGTCACCCACCCCTTCCCCCTTTGCCCACGTTTCCATCCGTCTCCCACCCTTTTCCCTGTCATCCTCTCATACACCCGTCGCCCCCGGTTTCCCCCGTCTCACCATCTCTTACACCCGCCACCCTCGTAAGCTTGTGCCGCCCTCGTAAGCCCCCTGCCTTCCCTCTGCCTGATACCCTTGGCTGTGTGCACTCAACTGCCTCCTTCTCCCCCCGCTTCTTCGTTCAGGGATCCTTCCACCCTCAGCAGTCTCTCATTACTCCTCCCTCCTCACCACCCCTCCGCCCGCCCCTCACCACCACCCTCCCATCTCTTCTTATAGCAGATGGCTTACAATTGCGGAGTGTGCGGAGCTGCCGGGTTCTCTGGTAGGGGTCCGCTCACAAACCATCAAAATGGCGAAACGTGCAGAGCCACTGCCGCAAATCGTTCTGCGACCGCTGAATCTTCACGCTCCATGCAACTTCCACGCACCACGCAAGCTACCATGCCACGGCCTATGTTGAACATACCCACAACAACTGCACCCATGCCTGACACCCCGCAACCTCCTCCTCCTACTTCAGTCCCCACCATTCCTGAGCCCGAAACCCACACAGAGGAGAGGGCTGAAGGTGATGGCGTAGGGGATGGTGGGGCGGCATCAGGAGGTGAGAGCGACACATTCAATTTTGCAGATGCATTCGCTCATTTCCTCCTTACCTCCAATCTGTCCAAAAGTGCTATTGATAAGTTGCTCCTCATCTTGAACCTTGGTTCAAAGTTCAATGACGACGTTGTCGTTTTCCGAAATGCGCGAGACGTTGAAAAATACGTCGATGAACGCATCCCAGATCCTCACCGTAACTGGAGACGAGGTCTTGTGCGCGTACAGTCAAAAGCTTTGTTAGAGTTTTTTTTTTGTGATGGTGTCATTGGGATGATTGACCTTTTGACACATCCAAAGAATGCAGACAAACTCGTTCTTAAACCCACGTCGCGCATCCCCGGTGAGACACATGTGTACTCATCACCCGAATCCGGGGATTGGTGGTTTACTTTGCAGAATGAGGTCAAAAAAGTGGACCCGGACGGGGTCGTGGTTGCTCTGATATTGTCGAGCGATGAGACACATATGGACCAAAGAGGCAAGGCCAAGGGTCATCCAGTGTACCTGACACTGGGAAACATCGACAAGCATGACCATTGGAAGCCATGGGGCCATGTACTGCTTGCTTTGCTTCCTGAATTCACGCCTCAGTACAATTCGCTAGACAAGTTGATTGTCTTCCAACACATCCTGTCAATGGTCATGGAACCATTGCGAAAGGCCTCACACACCGGAGTGAGGGTCCAGGACCCTACTGGTGCCACGTACAACGCGTGGCCTGGTTTGTACGCATACGCATGTGACTATCCTGAGTCGTGCAAGGTGACTTGCACAAAATCGGGGGCCACATGCTTCCCATGCTCGTTGTGCACAGTCCCTGTTGCTGAGACCAACAAACTACTGCCTCGCATTGTCCCTCGTACTCCACACTTGCAAAAGGGCATTACCTCGCTTTTGCAAATGCGGTTGTTTCCGAAAGGCGTGTCAAGCATGTCAACACATCCGCTGAATTGTTTTCTGTGGGGTTGGCATTGGTCATCTATTCCTATTTTGAACCCTTATTTGAGCGTCATGCCTGATATCATGCACCAGGCAGATTTAAGAATTCTTGTGCACATCATTGAATTTTTCCGTACACAACTCACCATCGCTAAAAAAAAAGAGGCCGACGAGAGAATAGCCTACTTGCGGGAGCACAACCGCAACCCGTTCATGTGCCTGCCTGGGGGCGAGTATTTCTCCTCAGGCGCGAGCTATCAGGCGTATGAGCATAGGAGTGTCATGCAAGTCCTTCCTTTTCTAGTGCGTGGCTTTGAGTCGACTGTCCCTCAGGCGCAGATGGACGCGATTGCAACTTACATTGACTGGTACACCTACTGTGCCCGCGCCAGTGAGCATACGACAGAGACGCTGCGTGATTTGAAGCACAAGGCCGAAAGGTATGTCCATGTGTTACTATACTATGCAGCGCGTGCATGCAATATGTTGTTGCACATGTAAGACTACCTCTTTGGGATTCTAGCCAATGCCTTTCTGCTCAAACATATCTTCCCCCACCATCACCATTGTATGGCAGGTTGATTTTCACCCTCAAATCAGCCTTTCCTCTACAGACGTCAAAGTGGCGCTTCATCAAGATGCACCTGATTAGCCACTACATTGACTCGATCCGTCGTGCTGGCTTGCCAAAGCACTACTCTACGCAGATGTTTGAGCACCTGCACATCGAGTACATCAAGAACCCTTACAGAGCATCGAACCGGCGCACGGCCACTGCACAGATCATGAATAGTGAGGTGATGCGTCTGCGCCAGTTCTCGGCAAGCGTAAAGCCTACGACACGTGCATGGTTGAGGTGAGTCCTACTTTATTCATAGTTGACTTGTAGATATACCACTCATTCCTTTTATACACGATCATGCCTGCAGGCTCAACGGACGGGGGAAAGGGTGATGACTCGAGAGAGTTGGAGGCTGCTGGTCCCTGCCAACCGGCTAGTGGCACCCTTCGTGGTGCCGTTGACACCTGATGTTGACCGAGATAGCAAGTTCTTGACGGCGTTATCTGCGGACCTTCCCTTCCCACGCGGCGCTTTGAATGAGGCACCTGCATGCTCCGGAAGTAGCATCGACACCATCCACGTAAGATGATCCCTTGAACCTACCATGTCATCCCCCTCCTCTCTCTTTCCCCCTTTTGTTGCTATACAAAATGGTGGCATCTCAACCCTCTTTCACCACTCTTCCCTCTCTCTCTGACATACTCATTATCCCGTCCTTCCCCTGCACCATAACTACACCCACAGATCCACAACGGGCTGGCCATGCCAGCTGCAATCGATGCGGCATTTAGCCGCCTACCTCATCACGTTCGTGCTGCGCCGATGTTCTATGGTCGGCCATGGTTCTCCAACATCGCAGTTGTTGGGGAGGGTGACGATGCAGAGCCTCTCGAATGGTATGCTAAGTTGCTGATACTGTTTGAGGTCCGCATTGGGAGATTGCTGGTGCCATATGCTTTCATAAAGTACTATGACTCAGCCCCCTCCAAAGACATAGCTACTAAGTGCACAACTCTCACTTGGGCTGACTCGTCTCAACGCTATAGTGTGATTGCAGTAACCAGTATCCTACGGGCGGTAGAGCTGGTCCGGACTGCGCCATGCGAGGACGTGTGGCTAGTTAATAAGTTCATGTTCTAAACTAGTAATCCGTAGGATAATAATGGATATTCCATTTTGTCACTTCAAACCATAGTGATTGACCTGTTGAAACTTAATGCAATACACGAATAGACAATGTCGTATCGCTTTGCGTACAACACAATTCTACAATTTAAACAAGTCGTCACGTTTGCTGCATGATCACAACCAACAAATCCTTAAGGGCCTAGTAAGGGCTTCATCAAGAAAGAAAGCATGAAAGTGCAAAACGGGGGCCTTTATTGTAATGTAGTCGTTCGTTTCACTATTGATCGTGTTAGGAAAATTGTTGTTTGTAATGAATATATTTGTGACATGCTGAGGTGGCACGCGACAACAAAGGAACCACCATGGTGGGTGGATGAGATTGACTGCCGGACGCGACGCGCAGTGTGAAGAATGAGTAATGAAGAAGAGAGGAGGTTCACTAGCAAACATTGGGATACATATAGCAAACCCTAAAAGGGTTGTACTCACTATAGAGTACCCCACTGCAGACTAGAGAAACATAATATTCTGACACGCAGCACATAGCTGCTCGCGTGCGATAGGGAATGCATGTGAGTTGGACTGTAGGCCTAGATTCCTAATTCTACCTGTTTGCCCCATGGGCCCGTGGCCCTTTTTGTTTTTTACTACGCATTCATTCATAATTTTCCTGTGATTAGGTAATCTCTAGTTACGAGTGAAATAATTTTTTGTTTCCGAAAAAATCATCCCCATATGAACGAAATGCGTGAAACATGCAAAACTGCGGAAATACGGGCAGGGATGCATTACTACCTAAATTTCCGACAGCGAAACAGTAAAATACCGTGGCTGCCAAAACGAAACCATGTAAACACGTTGACGCGCGACGCAGTGCCACGGCGTAGTCTTTCCGCATAGGACGGAATCGTCCAATCACCGCCAATGTAATCTGCCAGCTGGAACAAGTGAGGCATCTGCGTGGCAAACCTCGTGAGAAAAAAATAGTCATTCACCAACCATAAACAGCCGCATCTATCGTCTGCGACTCTTGTCAGTCGCAAACGCGTCGTTATGTCTGGTGTGGGTGGTACAGCCTGTGGCGGGAAACGATTGTTGGCACCGGACGACCAAACGGGTCTGGTTACACTCGGGCGAGATGGTGCAGTGCTGGACGACACGGCGATCGAAAGCGACTCCGACGAACCTGTCGCGAAGTTCCAGGAGCTCGTCGAGTGGATGCAAGCCATGAAGGCACAGGACATCCTGCCTGCCGAGTTGTTGCGTAAGAAAGCCAAAAAGGGCAGCATGGCAGAGATGAGTAACAACGGTGGAACAGCTATTCCAACCCCTGCTCCGCCAGTCACTGCGGCTGCTACTCTTCCTTCCGCAACAGAAATTTTACCCTCAGCCCTTAATCTGACTGGGCCGTTAGAAGACGCAGCAGAAGGCGCCACGGAGGCCGTGGAGCATCTTAACGCTCACGGCCTCCCAGTTTTCTCTCGGGCTCGCACAGGTATGAACCCGTTAGTCTTCTCCCTTTCCTGCTATTTAACTAAGGCTCGTATTTGGCGAGTATAGTTTCACGCTCAACCGCAACTCAACATGCATTTACTGTCATGTTTGTTCCTCGCCATGCCTGCCGATGTCTAATCCCGCACCTTGCACTTGTTTTTTTCTTCCACAAACAGAAGTTGCTTCGGTGAGAACACAAGCAGAGCTTCATCTTCGTGCTGAGAATGAAGACCTGCAATCCACGCTCAAGCTGACACAAGAGCGCGCACTCGACCTCCAAATCGCCCTAGACGATAAGGAGGCTGCATACGTAGCGCTCAATCTGCGCTACGACGAGTTGTCCGCTCTGGTCGTTGCACTTCGGCAGCAAATCATCAACAACGGCGAGGAGCAAAGGCAAACCCTGAACTTGGCGCTGATCCCGTCTTTCGACTTGCAGCAGTTACCACATGACCAGAACGGCAGCATCTTGGTCCCTACAACACTTGAACAAGACCATTTGTTTTCGATGAGTTTGTTCGCGGTTCTGTTTTGAGATAGGATATACTTCCTATAATGTTTGAGCAATCGCATCTCCCTGTCTTTCTTTTATTAACACTG